AAGAGAGAGAGAGACTGGGGATGGCCTCACTGAGCTATTGAGCGATAATCCACCCATTGTGTAATAGTCCTATGACAAGTGTGCATGGGTTTTAAATGTCAGGTTTTGTAGTGTAACCCACTGTCTACACAAAGAAGTAACCAGTACTTTTTATTTGCTTACACAAAAATAGTTACCCTCTTGTCTTTCCCTTCTGAACAAGCATCTGCCTGGGGTGCAGGTGAGTGGGAGAGAGGTGGTGCAGTCTGACTTGCATAGCAATCAAATGGAAGAGAGAGTATCCTGAATTCACAGTGGGCTGCTGTGTGGGAAGAGGAGTGAATGTCCTTCCTGCCTGATAACAGGATTAATGCCAATCCCACACACTAAATTGTGTTCTAGGGTGCATTTATCAGCACAAGCCCCTACCATGAGCTAGCACAGCGGAGTCATCTTCTCTGTGTAATGTTGCGCCCCATTCTGCTTCCCTAGATGTGGGCTTGAAAGTGAACGTGTATTTGTGTACATGTGCCTATGTGTGTGTGTAAATCACACAGCCAGATGTCCTTGCACAACTATAAACTATTGTTTTATCTCTGTTATTTCAATTTCTTTCTTTTTAGAAACCCCAGCTAATTAAAACAATAATAAAATGTTTATGTTGCAGCTAGTCCTTTCTAAGGTCATGGCTCCAGCAATGTCTACAGAAGTATACACCAGTGTTCTTGGTTCTCATCCACTTTTAAATATCAGTTTCTTCTTGCAAATGAGATATACATATACAGCTAGATACACACACATACACAGCCTGGACAGCAATATTAAGGCCTGTCCCTGAGCCATGTCCTTGACATTTAGTTCTCAAAACCATCTTTGGCATCCTTTCAGGACTGTGTGGTAGCTAGGGCTGTGTCCAAACCACCTGAGTTTGGATTTCCCTGTTTGCAGTCAGCGCTTTGATTGTTAATTCATTACAGATGTCAACACTTCTCATCTGGAAGGATATAATGCGTTGGTTGTACCTCCTTAGCATGCAAATTCCTCACAAAAAAAAAATCCATGCAAATTTCCCCTACATAATATTTAAAGATGAGTTATGAAAGATGACTGAAACAATACTTGAAGGCACTCTTTTCCAAATATTATGTAGAAATAGTGTGCATTTCATGTCATAATAGTCAAATAAAAACTATTTGAAATACTAAGAAAGGTGAATTAGCCATTTAAAATATTAGTTGGATACTGACATGCACTATAATTCTGCACTCATAATTCCTGATTAAGATTTCCTGATGTGGCCTAGAGAAAAAAATCTGTGTGTATGTTAACAGTTATACAGAAGGCAAAAGCGCATGGAATTCCAAGGATGGAACAATACAGCCTTGTTGGTTTTGGCAAAGTACAATCTTTAGTCGTGAAAACCTGAGAAATTTGAGGCCAGTCCCACAAAGGCTTACGCATATGCTTATCTTTATGCATAACTCATGCGTGTAAATAGTTACAGCGTTTGGCCTCTGACATGGCTGCTTCAGCAAAGTTCTGTACTGTAAAACCTAGGGTGTGATCTTGTTCTTACTGAAGTCAGTGGGACTCCCCCTGTGAGCAAAGTTATTTATGTGAGCCAGCAGCGCTAGCCCATAAGTAGCTAAAATAGTAAATTGGTTACTCAGATGTTGTGAACTTTAAAAAAGTGCTTTCCTCTAACTTCAGAGGGAGAAAAGGAATCTTTGAATAGTGGCTCTATGCTATTTTTCATGATTATATTATTTACTGTGGTATCGTTCTAAGTCCCAAATGAGGCTCCCATTCGAGGCTTCTTTATACCACAATTACGCAAGCAATCGCTGCTTGGATTCTAACCATCTATTGAGTTTTTATATAGAGCTTTAAATTTGAAACCTTGAAGTAGTATAAGCTCAATCATGAACACTACCACACTCAGGAACCTGGTCCTGATACAGCTTCCAGGCAAGAGTAATAGGTAAATCACTCACTTGTCTTATATTCAGTGTCACTCTCCATACCAGATACATACTTGAAGTTTAAACAGTGATAGGAGTCACGGCTTTAAACAGCTTTTATTAAATGAGAGGAGTGCTGCAGCAGGAAGACTTGTGGCTATTTAGAAAAATAGGAAGCGTCTACTACCTACCTAAAATATCAGATTGGTTTTATTTTATATTTACTGCAAAAGGGCCACACTACATCAAGCAGATGATGATGAGGCTGTTGGGACACAAGCGTTTGGTTGCTGCATCTGGCATTAGCATGGGATGGCAGAATCACTGATCAGGATTTAATTTTCATTTCTTGTCCTAATTTGCATTTCCTATTACTGTGTGTTGCATTTCAGCCCTGTGGATTTGGGATCTGACCAAAAGCCAACTGAAAGCTCAAACCAGTAAAAGTCCAGCATTTCTTTCTCTCCCTCAAATAGAGTCAAACAAAAATAAGCACCCTGCCTCCTGTTCTTTCCCCTCACACATATACCTACTTGAAAATGTCTGCCTCTTAGGAAATAGGCACGAGTAATACAGAATCACTTGTCTCTTATTTAAAGGAGACTCTGGCCACAGCTTTTCCTTTGGTCACACAACAATGAAATGGATGAGGTTGGTAGTGTGTTACCCTAATAGGAAGAGAAGCTCAAACAAAAACATGGAAGTGGTGGAAGCCCGCGTACTTCACAAGAATGGTTTTGAATCTGTGTGTCCATGTGGGAAGAGCTTCCTTGATACCATCTGCTTATAAAGAAGAAAGAAAGGAAAAATAGGGAATAGAACAACCTGTTGCCCTTGTTCTCTCTGGGTTTAGTGAAATGGAGGAATCAGCAATGCTATACAACTGTAAAACAAACAGAGGAACTGGTAGTCTACCAGTCCTATGCTCTGTCATTAATGTATAAAAAAATAACAGCAGCCCACCTAGTCACTGAAATTGTTCAAATTACTGGTTTTAAACAACTGAGTAAATTTTCTAATGTGAAGAAAGTCATAGTATATATGTTTGCCTGATCTGAGAAGTATATCTATGGTGGCTGCTTTCCATATACAATGCTTGTGCAGAAAGCACACTTCACTTGAGTGAATATCCAAAACATGTAGTTTCACACAAGACTACGAATTAAAACATATCAGGGAGAGAGACTACGGTTAAGAAATAATGCTTTACTTCTTCCAAAGCATAATTATAGGATAGCAGTGTAGAACATCCAGATTATGTTATCAAACAGCCTTATTTAAACATAGCTCCACATCCCCAAACGATAAATAATGTACATGTGGTAGGCAAGAGTCATCACTCTTGCAACAGCGGAGCTCCCTGCTTTGCACGATTTACACATTAACATGTTACTGAAAAATAGGTTTTATTATCATCTGAATTCATATGAGATCATTTATAGACATCGGTTTAGAGCAGTCTCCTCCTCTGAGTCATGACCACCTGTTGGGCTACAGAGCTGTGGTGCAAAAGAAGGGAGGGAGAGGAGAGGAAGATTTAGCCATTTTTAGAGAAGCGAGCCCACCAGTCCATGTACATCTTCTTTCTCTCCCAGAGTTCCTGCAGTATTTGCCTTAGAGGGGCCCGTTCTGCTGGCTGCAGCAGCAAGGGGCATACTAGGCGTGCAGATGTGCTTTTGTGTCGCTCCTCATTGCAGAATCAGGGGGGGCTCGCAGTGCTCTGCCCCTGTGTGTCTGCTAGGGTCACCCTGTGAAAAAAATGAGGCTTCGACTGATCTAAAGCGTGCACCTCTTCCTGAACTCTAGCTGAACGGACAGACCCTGTCTGCCCTCGGCTGGTTTAATTCGTAGCCCTGGACAGGGCTCCCAGCTCTGACGCTGGTGCCGAGCCGAGGCCGGTGTTCGCCGCTCCCCTACTATGCGGTGCCGGTGCCTGCCAGCTCCAGCAAGTGCTCACTGGCACCGCGGGAACACACGGACGGACGTACAGACGGAAGAACTGACTGACAGGTGGACAAACGGCAGCGCCCCTGAACAGTCCCCCCTGCCTCGCTCCTAGTTTACAACGCGTTTCCTTAAGGAACCAGGAGCAGCGGGAGTTTCAGCTCTCGGGGCCCCCGGGCGGGCAAGCTGCGCCTGAGGCACCGGAGGACGTGGCGCCCGAGCTTTGATCCCTCCGATTAAACTGTTCCCGGAGAGGATTGCTTCTGAACGCTCCGAGAGTGATTTAAAAGCACCGCATCGCTCTTTATTAATGTAATGCTCTTTAAAATTGCAAGTACTCTTAATCCCCTCGTACCGAGCGGGGGTAGGGAGCGGCGTGTGGAGCGTGTTAAAGCCCCGGCCGGGGGGAACCCGCCGCACTGTCACCTCCTGCCCCCCCGTGAAGGGGGGCCGAGCCGCCAGTGACAGAGACCAATTTCAGTGGGGGAACCGCCCCGCGGGCACCGGAGAGCGGCTCCGCACGCCGCCCGCACCTCACCTGCAAATTCTCCCATCGCCACCCTTCATTCCCCGTGGAAAGCCTAAGTGCGCTCCCTCCCGCGGGAGGGCGGCCAGTGCCGGCAGCAGCTGAGCTGCGCGTCTCTGCTGGGCGAGCCGCGCAGAAGGGGAAGGAGGAAGAGGAGGGTATGAGGAAAGCCCCACACACTGCTGGGTATCACCTCCATCGGTGATGCCGCGGCTGCCACCCGCGCTGCCTCCACCCCGCACCCCCGGGGGATGCCGCCGGGCTTTCCTAAGGTGAGTGGCCACCGCCGAGCGGCTTTGCTCTTCCCCGAGCAGGGACACGGCTCCGAGTAGCTGTATCTCCAGCCGAGCCGAGCAGCGTGCTCCCTGCTCCGTGGCAGGAAGGGAGCGTCGGGTGCTCGTGAGGGGAAGTTTGAGGCGCGGGACAGAGGGAGCCGACTTCATGGTGTAGAGGGGACGTAAGCGCGAGTAAGGAGGCACCTGGAGAGCCGTTCCCAGGTGGAGGGAGAGCAGCCGGTTGGAACGGAGGCGGGGGGAGCGAAAGAGAAGGTGGAGAAGCAGGCGGGGACTGAAGGGGGACGGGGGAGTCGCAGAGCGGAGAGATGGGGAAGGAGGTGGCGGCTCTTGAGCTCGTGGACTAAAAGCACCGCGCTCAGCTCCCTGAGGTCGGTGGTACCGCCAGTGCTATACCCGGCCCCGCGTCGGCGGCGAGGTTTCCTTCGGGATTCGTTGGAAAAAGTGGCTGTGACCCGAGAGATACTTAGCGCAAGGTTAGGGGCTGGCTTGTATCGGGGTGGGGGAGTTTCGGATCGCGCTTCTGTTCACTCCTGGGAGCTACCTGAGAGCAGACCTACAGGCGCCGTGCCCATGTTCCCGGCAGCTCTGCTTGCCGGCCGGGAGAAGGGCATCGGTGCTAACCCGGCCCATCGCCGCCTTTGTCCCTGCTGCTGTCAGCCGGCACCTCGCCTTTCGGAAACTTTGCATGCCTCCTTGCAGTGGAAGGGCGGCAAGGCGGTGGTATGTAAACAGCGCGGCTCAGGAGATGGAGAGCGCAAACTGCGGGAAGGCTGTCTTGTTTGCCCATTAACTGGGCTGCTGGCAGCCGGTTTGTTATGTGTGTGTGTTTGGGTTTTGAATCAATATTTATTTACAGGACTCAGGTATTAATCACTCACGTCTTGGAAAGCTCATTAGTGGTGACTTGTTTCCATGACAACAGGACCCCTCTGAGCCTTTGGGTTGTCTGTTTGCCTGTTTTATTTTGTTTTACTTTTCAAAAACCGTATTTGTACTAGTATCGTGGTTTGCCACGGAAGAGAAAACCAAGGTAATAAACCCTGTGTGATCCTGTGGCCCCTATCAGTGTTTTTCTAACGCTCACTTATTTACTCAGACTTAATTAATGATATATGGAATGGTTTGAGCAAGTGCATGAGTTATACAAGATTTCTTAGTATTTGTTTTACTGCCGTATCTCCCTTAGCTATAAAGCTGAGACTAAGATGCTGTTTGACTTGTCTCTTGTTCAAAGTACTCCTTAGACGTTAGTGCTGAAAAGTGTAGTGTTTGTAATCTTTTCCTTTGTATATCATACGGTACCTTAGAACCCTTTGAAAAGCATTGTATTGCAGTCTCTGTAGTTTTATTGCTCTAGGAGAGCTGGGAATCAGTAGTGACTTATTGTGTAACTTTGTCACCTTCTCGTGGTGTGACCTTGACAGGTCTCTTAACATCCTCATATTCCACCTTGTCTCGACAGAAGGAAAAGCTGCCCACTTGTACCTGTGAAGTGCTCTGAGCTAATCAAGCAAAACATTTCTTCTAAGATGGAATACTGTTGAAACTGAATATATTGTTTTCTGTTATGAGACTAAACATATCTTTTACATCCCCCACTTTTTAACTTCAGTCTTTATTTAACATAACACAGTCATATTAGCTCTTCAGATGATGTGTACTTTTGTCATCCAGCTGAAATCAGCGATTCTTAATCCTATTTATGCTATCAGTCACTGCTTTCCTGGGTTAATTTCATCAGAGTCAGGTAAAAAGGAGAATCTTTAGCATTCTTAATTTGTAGGAGTATGTACTATGATAAAGAGTGTATATGTGGCAAGAAGATAGAGTAGTAATGAAAGAAAAGACAGCAAAACTGAATTCCAGTCTTGACCACTTGCCTTAGCATTGCACCCTGAGAGAAACTTCAGTACCTTTTTTGATAGAGTGAGCAAATGCACACTTTTAACTAGACGTCAAGTTAAAAATCTGAAACTGTTCTGCCAATTTTCATTGTTTTCCAAGAAACATTGTAGTATGTGGTGTTTCTTTGAGAAGCACTGGGAGTGTGTAAGAAATATTTAAGAATATACAGTTCCAAAACAAAACACTGCCTGGGAGATGTTCAGCTGTGACCATTTTAGAGGACAGGAGTAGTAAGTTATAATAATAGAGGAACTTCAGTAAGAAGCGTACATTTTTCTTCCTTGAAATGCTCCTTTTAAGTGAATAAACTATAAAATAACTCACACTGAAAGGATGAGTCTATCCCTAGCTCAGCTCAGCAGAGTGCTAAAACATGCTTCATTCCAAACGTATTAGTGTTCTCTAGTATCAGTAGGCAAATAGCACTTTGAGGTTCTACTTAACAGGCCTTGATTCTTTAGAATAATCTTGCTTGTAGGATTCTGGAGGTTTTAGCAGCTTAATAGTGAAACATCTGTCTCAAAATATTTCTTGTGAATTGAGGACCATCTGACCATTAGCAGTGAAGATACCAGTGATGTAATTTTATGACAATCCCATGAAGAGAAAGAAAGTAAAAGAAATGACATCTTAGTCAGCACCTTGTCCCCTTTGGATGTCATTGACTGAAATTTCCATACCAACCTATTAAATTTTTACTGCTTAGTGCTGCACAGTCGATACAGGTAAAGAGAAAGTAATTTAGTAGTCTGTGCTTTATGTCCTCTGCAAAGCTCAGTCTTACTGTCACCAGTCTATTACTGATGATAGTAAGAACAAGGTATATTATGCCAGTTCAATTCTCAGACCCTTATTGCCATGAGAGGAAAACAAAAAAAAAATTCATTTTAATTTTTTTGAGACTGATAACAGGGTGGCAAGAAAAAAATATTTCATAAGAAGCCTGTATTACTTTTATAATATTTTTTCAGGACAATGATCACTTAAAATTGCAACAAGACATCTGAGCTGCCACTGGTAAAGGTGTTCTGTTTGAAGGAGCAGGAAAAGTACAGAGATGTGAAGGCTAAATCTATAGATATAGATAATTGTCGTGGCTTAAGTCCAGCCGGTAATTCAGTACCATGCAGCACTTGCTCACTCCCCCACACCTTCCGCCCCCCGCTCCCAGAGGGATGGGGAGGAGAATGGAAAGAATGTAACTCCCACCGGTTGAGATAAGAACAGTCCAGTAACTAAGGTATGACACAAACCCACTACTGCTACAACCAATAATAATAATGATAAGGGAAATAACAAGGGAAGAGAATACAACCGCTCACCACCTGCCAACCTATACCCAGCCCAACCCCTGCAGTGATCTAACCCTTCTGGGTAACTGCCCCCAGTTTATATAGTGGGCATGATGTGCTGTGGTATGGAATACCTCTTTGTTCAGTTTTGGTCAGGTGTCCTTTCTCTGCTTTCTCCCAGCTCCTCCTCCTCCCTGGCAGAGCATGAGACTCAGAAAGTCCTTGGTCAGAGTAAGCATTACTGAGCAGCAACTAAAAACATCGGTGTTATCAGCGCTGTTCCCAGGCTGAAAGTCAAAAACACAGCACTGCACCAGCTACTAAGACTGAGAAAAATGACTGCTACTGCTGAACCCAGGACAATGATGATATTGATTTATATGGTATTTTACTCAGTATTATATCAAAGTAACTTGGATGTAATGTACCCTGGTTTCCACAAGCAAAAGTGCTTTTAATGGTGTTCGTATTCAACCTACATAACGCTCAAGTTGCATATTGCTCAAACTTTGCTGGGATGTGGAAATAAAGTTAGGATTGTTTGTTTCTCTGGTGTTATAAGTCCCTCAACTGAGGTGAATAAGATGCTGGACCAGTATTTAGTGGAGGTAGTTGAGCTCCTTTCTCTGTAACTTATCTACTCTGGCCAAATCATTTCAGCCTTCTATTTCATTTTTCCGCTAGTCATCCTGCCCCTATTTATCATTCAGTTTTGCTTATTTAGAGCATAGGATCCTCATGCACAGTCTTGTGATGTGCATATCTTGTCCCTAGACAGATTCTTCTTCAACAGCAAAATGTTACTGCAGTACAATAGCAAGAAATGATAGCCAGCATTTTTCCTGTATCGGTCATTGTGATCTTTGCATGATCACTAGTTACTGTCTGAGAGGCAGTAAGATTGTTATAGGTCAGTGTGAAGATGTAATAGAGGAGTTGCAGCTAATGTTAGTTCCTTAAAATTCCTTTTGCTAAATATATTTGAAGAAAACCTCTTTCAGAGAAGAAGTTCACAGACCTATCCTCCAAGGACTAGAGACTAAATTACTGCTCATTACTAAATTAAAGCTCATTACTGCTTTCCTGAACACGTGTTTGCTGTCAGGTTGAGCATACTAGTTTTCAGCAAGTAAAAATAAAGCCATCATTAATTTAAAATATGCATATTAGTGAAAAGGGGTCATCAAGGGTAGAAACCTGTACTAAAGATTCAAAGTGGAATCTTGATTTTTGCTTAGGTTTGTTTCCTTTTTTCCTTCTCTAGTGTTTTTGGTTGGGAGAAAGGCAAGGGCAGATAGAATCACAGAATGGTTTGGGTTGGAAGAGACCTTAAAGATTATCTAGTTCCAATCCCTCTGCCATGGACAGGGACACCTTTCACCAGATCAAGTTGCTCAAACCCCATCCAACCTGGCCTTGAACACTTCCAGGGATGGGGCATCCACAACTTCTCTGGGCAATCTGTTCCCGTGCCTCACCACCTTCACAGCAAAGAACTTCTTGCCGATATAATCTAAATCTTTCAGTTTAAAGCCATTCACCTTTCTCCTATCCCTACATGCCTTTGTAAAAAGCCCTTCTTCAGATTTCTTTTAGGCCCCATAAACTACCTAAAGGTACTGGAATGCTGCTGCAAAGTCTCCCCAGAGACTTCTTCAGGCTGAACAAGCTCAGCTCTCTCCTCCTGTCTTCATAGGAGAGGTGGTCCAGTCCTCTTATCATCTTTGTGGTCCTCCTCTGGACTTGCTCCAACAGAGCCATGTCCCTTTTGTGTTAGGAGCCCCAGAATTACACACAGTACTACAAATGGGGTCTAACCAGAGCAGAGTAGAGGGGCAGGATCACCACCCTTGACCTGCTGGTCACACTCCTTTTGATGCAGCTCAGCATATAGTTAGTTTCTGGGCTGCAAGCACACACTGCTGGGTCATGTTGAGCTTCTCATCAGCCAACACCCTCCAGACTTTCTTCTCAGAGCAGCTCTCAATAGAGTCTCTGCCCGGCCTTTATTTGTGCTTGGGATTGCCCTGACCCACATCTAAGACCTTGCACTTGGTCTTGTTGAACTTCATGAGTTCACCACCTCTCAAGAGTGTCTCTGGATGGCGTCACTTCCTTTCAGCATGTTGACTGAAACACAGAGCTTGGTGTCATTGGCAAACTTGCTGAGGGCACATCAATCCCACTGCCCATATGAGATTCCAAGTATTTTTTGATCTTAAAAAACCACACAGCTTCATTTGACAGAAATGAGTAATGTTGTTAGGAAGGTATGA